AATGCAAGGACTGTAATAGCTCATTTATTGAATATTAATAAGAAGTATTTTGTTTTTCTGTCATTCAGTTTCATAGCTTGTTGGTAGTTATTAAAATAATAAATTATTCAAACAGGTGTTGTGTCAATTCTTAAAGCACTAGGTTTAGAAATTCAGTTTCTAAGTGCAAAGAATTCACAACCCTCCTGCCGTTAGCCCAGCACACAAACCCATGAGGCATACAACAAGACCAGGCCTGCTGCCTTCCCAACCTCTCTGACACACCTGCACCACATTCACAGACATGCATATTGCACACTACCACCCCCACACTTTAAATAAATAAATATTTCAGTGCCCTAAGGTAGGGCCCTCTACTCCCCAAGAAGAGGCAACAGGCAGCCACAAACCTCCCTCTTTTCCCTGCCAGCATGCTGCTCAGCCCTAGAGATACAAAAAAAGTGTCCTTGACAATCCTCACAGACACTGCCAGGGCTCCAATCAAAGTACATGCTACAGTCTGGGTCCTGGTGGGGCATGCCAAGCCCTCCATATTTCCAGCCCACAGCCATGACACACATCAGAAGAGCTCTGGGGCTTCGAACCTTGGCATGTGTCATGTGGGAAAAAATAGGTGGACTGCTGTTCTTGCTGACTGAACTACAGGGCTCTCCAGCCAGTCTGCAACTCTTAACCTTTTGTCGGACAGTTCAGAAACCAGTGCCCTGAACCACACAACAAAGGATCTGCCCCCTACCTACAGCTGGTTGGCCAACCTACTGCCATACCAGTAAACATACCTCCCCCAACCTCCACACCCCACCCTACCCCATACACACACACACACATTTCACAAAAAAACATTTTTTTAAATGATGGAACCTGTCAGAGGGCTCTGGGTCCAGGAAAAAGGGCCCACAAGCATCCAGAAACACCCTGTTTATACCAGCTAGCCTTATGCTCAGCCTCAAAGATGTTACCCAAGCCTGCAGGGCTGCTGCCTTCTTTCCTCCTAGGGCCTCCATGGTCTTGGATGCTCCAAAATTAAAAACAGGGGAAAAAACAATTTTGGTCAAACAGACTCGCCCATCCTCACAGACACTGCCAGGGGTCTGATTGAAGCACAGGCTACAATCTGGGGCTTGGTGTGGCATGCCAAGCCCCGCATCTTTCTACCGCACAGCCCTGGCCTGCATCTTTCCACCACACAGCCTTGGCACACACCCAGGCAAGCTCTGGGTCTCCACACTTTGACATGTGCTGCGAGGGGGAGGGGGGAAGTTTGGAGGACTCACGTTCTGGTTGTGGTGACTTAACTACAGGGCTCTCCGGTCAGTCTGCAACTCTCTACCTTCTGGCCAATCATTCAGAACCTACTGGCCTGAGCCGGACAACAAGCAGAACAACCACACTGCCGACAGCCTATTAGCCAGCCTACCCCCATACCAGCACACGTCGCCTTCCTACAAGCAGCCCCAAGCACCCCGCTTATACCTGCCAGCCTCATGCTCAGCCTCAGAGGTGCTACCCAGGCCTGCAGGGCTGCTGGCTTCTTACCTCCTAGGGCCTCCATGGTCTCAGCTGCCCCAAAATTAAAAAAAGAAAAGAAAAAGGGATTTTGGCCAGACCGACCCAGCCATCCTCACAGACACTGCCACAGCTTCTATCAAAGCACAGGTTATCATCAGGGGCTCAGCACGGCATGCCAAGCCCTGCAGCTTTCCACCCCACAGCCCTGTCACATTGTCAGGCAAGCTCTGGGGCTTTGCACCTTGTCATGTCACAGCAGAGGCCTCGAGCACTGTTTTCACTGGCTGAACTACAGGGCTCTTTAGGCAGTGTGCAACACTCAACCTTCTTGTTGACAGCTCAAAACCCACTGCCCTTAGCCAAACAACAGGCAAAATCACCACCTGTTGGCCAACCCACAGCAGCATACACGCCACTCTCCCCTTCCCCCTCCCCCCAACACACACACAAACAAAAGAACATATTTTAAATTACAGGACCTGTAACAGGGCCCTGTGTCCAGCAAAAATTTGAACATAGTGACAGGACTTGAGAAGAAGTAAAAAAAGTGACTAAAGATAGCTTCTCTGTGAGTTCTGTCAGCGTTTCCCATGGCCGTTCCTCCTTCTGGCTCTTTGAACTGGGAAACAAGCATTTCCCCTAAGAACCAGAAGTTCCTAGAAAACTTTTATCCTCAAAAGACATCACTTAAATACCTTAAAATATTTCCTCATCTTTATTTCCCTATTTTGTTCTCGGGGAGCATGTGCATTGTTCAGGTTATTTCTTTCCCCCAGACAGACAACCTGTCTGACAATTTTTGGTGCTTTTTTTATCTTAATTATATTCAAAGAAGACAGCAATATACATATTCTCCTAGTCATATTTCCTCTCCTGTTCCTTATTTTATTCAAGAGGGAGAGACATATCCCCTTAGCATGAGATTTCCTTCTTGCTTGAAACCTGATAGATGCTTTACCTTGGATATAGGGGCTACATGAGACGCTGACTGCGCAGTAGTCCGTGACTACTGTGCAGTAAAGTCACGTGGCAGGAACTGTGGCATGCTGCTACTGTGCGGTAGTCATGAGTGTCACAAAAAAGCCATTCCTTGGTGCAACTGTACCATAACTCCAGTTATTGCGTAGCCATTTAGCACTTGTTTATACAGCAAAGAGAAGGACTTAGGAATAGATGAGATTGTTATTGGGAACAGATAGATTGTTATTCATTTTTTCCTTTGGAATGCAATCAGCTATTGTTTAAGGTTTAAGCTATTGTTTAACAGATATGCATGCTAAAATCATCTCTGGTATGCAGATAGCTATTGTCTAATGAGGACTGTTCTTGATACCTAATCAAGCCATAAATTCCCTACTGATCTTTTGACAAAGTCATATGACAAAATACAAATATACATTCATACCAAAAATGATGGCTCATGCAAACATACAAATGATCAAACTGAACATAGCTTAAAGTTAGCTGTGAATAGAGACCAAACATTTTTGCACACATATTTTCCCAAATCCAATTTGGGAAAACACATGTGTATAATATGTCATACCCCCACAATGCTTCCTCCCCCCCACCCCCAATTAATCACTCTATAAAGGATACCCATGACAGGGGCAAACATTAATTCAAAGCCCTCTGGCTGGTGCACTATGAAGTCACTGCAAAGGCATGCTAGGGGCCAATAGGGTCATAGGAAAGCAGAGCCAGAAGGAACCTCATACCATCATCTAGTTCAGCCCTGTGTTCAGGACAGAGTCATTCCTGACTGAACCATCCCAGTCAAGTGATTCTCAACACAGCTAACTACCTCTCAGTTAGGGTGTTGGGGTGCCTTGAGATCCTTTCAAGGGGTGCCACAGGGTCCTACAAATTGTTGGTACAATTAAGTGTGCAAACATGATTCACAGGATAAACCCAGAAATACGAGCTCAGAATCCATAGTGTCAGAAACAGTCTGACCTAGTGTGGTCTTTCCGACTTCTTTGCAACAGACAAATTGCTGTATTCTTTTTTTCTCAGACAAAAATGAGTGACAATAAAAAGCTTGTATTTTCTCAGGGGTGACTTCAGTATAATGAGGGATGCCTTGAGTCTAAAAAGATTGAGAATCACTGGTCTAACCTTTCTAACCTGGTCCTAAAAATGTCCAGGGATAGAGATTCCACGTCTTCTCTAGGTAGCCACCGTCATCATAACGAAAGTATGTCACATACATGAAAAAAAGTTTGTTTTGAGCCCTGCAAAATAGAAACAATTTGAGCATATCAAAAGTTCTTATGATATTCTTCTTCGAATATATTTCAACCAACTCTGTCCATATCCCCAAGTCCCCTAAAGATCTCCCTGGATAAGAAGGAAATATTGAATATTCATAGGTTATATTTATTCAGGTCAGAATCAGGGACTAGAGCCTAAGGTCTACAACAGTTCCACACTTCCCTATATACTCCCACAAAGAGTTATCCTGCAAGGACAAGAGAAAGTAAAGTTGCTTATATTACATGACTGTAAATTTTTAAAAAATGAAATTTTACATATTACCATTTCTGTTACCCTTGAAACTTCACATTTTGACAACACAGACAATTTTTTAAATAATATTTTTATTAAAACAAGGTTGTTGCTTTTCATCAGCTTGAATTTAATTGCTCTCCCCACAAGACCTGAAGAATGTCCTGCATTACAAAGCTTGTCTGACTCTGTTCCAACCATGCAGTTGGTTCAATAAAAGGTATCACCCTAAGAAAGCCTTGACTCACACTTTTGCCCAAAAAACGAAATCTTTGATTAAAATCAATGCAAAATCCCTAATCTACCACTAGATGGCACTAGAGACATGTAAAAGTGGCTGATGTGATTAAATGCTGGCGGTGTCAGGGCAGCAACTCTTAACTGAAGCTAGAGCATACTGGGTGTGTCTATACATGCGCTTTAATGAGCATTAGCCTTTTTTAATGTGCATTAAAGCATCACTGAAGAAAGTGCTATTTAGTTAATCCACATTAAAATAGGTTAATGTGCATTAAGCAGCACTTAAAAACTGTGCTCCTTACTGCACATTAAGATAGGCAAACATATTTTCCTAGTACCTCACAATGGAGGGTGCCTATACATGAGCGCAGAGCCTGCTCTAACTTGCTGGAGCAAACTTGATTAATCAAGTCTGCTGGAGCATGGCAATGCACCATGCTCCAGCAGCCTCCTGCATCTCATGTATCAGCATCCC